CATATTTTTCCTCTTTTCGCGCTTGCAGACCCAAGATTTTCTAGCTCCAAGGCGAGACAACATAAATCATGAACAGACACAGCGGAAAACTGGTGGAAAGTGCTGGGAGCTGGCCACAAAACTGCGGCGGAAAAGCCGCAGTGGAAGAACAAGAAGAAGAAGGAGCCCGAGCAGCTGGAAAAACCGCAAAGCGTTTTTGGTCTTTTGCTGTTTTGGTGGTGGCACTGGCACTGGCGCTGGCGCTGGCGGAAAACTTGCCACTGGCAGTGGCAGCAATCGCTTCAAATGGCTTTAAAAGGCCATCAACTGGGAGAGCTAAACTCTAGAATTTTCCACGCCAAGCGGCAAACTTTGTTTGTGGCAGCTGCAGTTTGTCTGTGCAAATTGGCGATGGCAACTAAATTGAAAAGTGCCGAGCTAAACGCCCGAAAGTAGGCAATGGTTTCTGCTTCTCAGTTTCAGTTTTCCACGAACCGCAGAAAGGATGTTTTTGCTTAAAGTTCCCGGCATCTCGGATTTCTCTTCTGCTTTTTTTTTCGTATTCGACTGTCTGCCCTAGACATTTCCTGCACTCGTTCGGGTTTTTCCTTATATATTTTCTTTTAGTTTATTTTTTGGTACTACCATGCCAGGATGTCTGGCCATTGAATTGGTTTCCCTTCGCCCTTCTGGACACTATTAATTTGAGTCGTTTTGCGCTGTTCAGCATTTTATTTAATTTTTTTTATGTTTCAATTTCGTTTCGGCATCGACTTGATTTGTGGCTTGTTTTCGTGATTTTCCCTCGCCGAAGGAAATTAAATGTTTTTGGTGAAAATGTCTTCCGATTTATCTATATTTAAGTTTGCTTTGCTAGCATTCAGTTATAAGGCTATTGAATAAATAAAAGTATGTTCTATGTTTGGAATATATTCTCAAAAAGTTTATCCACAAATAAAGTCAAATATCTGGAAAGTTTAAATCAAAAAGCCTTAATCTCCGCAACAATTTTTGTGGCATACTTTTCCCCGTTCTGATTCGGTCAAAAGCAAACGCTAATTGAAATTCCTCTCTTCGAAAAACCGCACAAAAAATGCCCAGCCAATACTCTCTGAAAAATACACATTGCCCACACTCACACACACACACATGGCAAATGGTTATCGATGCATCCGGCAGCTGTGGCAACTTCCGGTCGACTGATCCTGCTCCGACTTCAGATTTCTATTCGGGGCATTCAATGAGCGCGACAGATTAGCCGCTCGCAGACCACAAAAACGGAAGAGGAAAATGGTGGGGAAAAGCTGAGGGAAAAGCAGCCAAATTGGTGGGAGTTGTTCGGGGAAAAATGAGACCGACAAAAGCGACTGAGTCCGTAATGATGCGGAAGTGGACAAAAGGCAGACACCGCCTAGCACAAAAGCCAGAAAAGCTGTAGATGCCAATTCCACAGCCCATGGCAATGGTCATGACTGTGGCAAAAAAGGCATTCTAAAACTGCGGTCAATTGAAATGGCAATCAAGTTAGCGGCCACGTCCCTGTCAAAAGGCCACATATACAGCCCAAGGAGCAACTGAAATGGGATGCCTGTCCTGCCATTTGCTGAAATTCACACCACAGAACAAAGCCGAAGTCGCCAGTCAATAATTACAAAGGACAGGCCAATCGGGTGGAGACTGAGAAAGGAAATAAAAGAGATTTTGGTTCTAATTAAATTTTTTAATTAGTTCAGTGATAAATATTTCTTACAATCAATATAGTCTCTACTCTTATAGAATTTTAAATCCACTTAAATAAAAATATTCACTTAAACCTTTTCATGTGTTCCTTTTAGCCAAGGAAAACCTCACCGGAAAATGCCTCTTAAGATTGATTTTCCAGTTATTGCGTTGGCCAGGCCAACAAAATTTGCCAGCGTTGAATGTGAAATCAGATAAGAATGACCTGCCAGTGGAGTATGTGCAACATTTTCCTGCAACTCATTTGAATGGTCTACGGGTATACACATTGCAGCTTACGAAAAATAAAACTGGGGAAACCAAGTGCGGTCCTTTTCTTTTACCAGAGTCGTAATTTAATGTGCTTGGCACTCTGTTTCCTCTGATTTTCCCCTTTTAAGTGGGAAATTCTTCACCCAGTTTCCCGAGCACTTTAAGCCCGATTATGGTTGTGGCTCATTTTTTTCTTTTTAGCGCCTTTTGTTTGGCCTGCGCTCTTTTTGTTTGCCTCGCACGTATCACTGCTCAAAGGAAAAGGAAAAGGGAGAAGTGAGAGGCCATTACGTGTTCACCCAAGTGTGTGTGAGAGAGTTTTCCGCACTCCATATGTGTGTTTGTGTGAAAGTGCGGCTGCAATAATGATTGGAAAGTTTCGCTGTGCCGTTGGAAATGGAAATGGAAAAATATACTGCAACCAAACACGCCCCGAGTCGTAAATATTTGGCAGGCCACGAGGTCATTTGCATAACAAAACTGCATGCGGTGCAGCCATTAAATAATTAGAAATGTTCCTTTTCCCAATGCATATCTACGGCGGAGGGAAATGCTGGGCGAAAAGGGCCAAAAGTTTGTGCAACGCCTTGGCCATTAAAGCGCAATCAACTTTCGACATCATTGGCGCCAAAGCGAAAACCACAAAAAAGTGGAGAACTTTTGAGAATATTTTGGTGACGGAATTTCAAATGCTCTTTGGGTTAAACTAAAAATTAAATATTCAAAAGTAATTATAGTGAATGTGTTTTTAATTAAGATATGTACTTAAGTACTTTATGAAGCACCATCAAGGCTGTTAAATTATTAACCAATTTGGGGTTTCACTTTATAGTTCATCAAATTATGTTAATACTTTAAACTTTATGTTCAGGATATTGTTTCTCAATTGAAATGACTTCCGCTAGCCTATTTAAATTACCCCAATAATAGTAAGGGTATAACTCAAACTTTCGGCCCAGCATTTGGGTGGTAATGCGCCCTGGGTGGCATTCACATTTTGAGGTTAGTTGCTGTCATAAATTTTTAGTGCCCTGACTTGGCTTTTGTTTCGAAACAGCTTTTCTCCCCACTCGTTTTTCCCAAGAAAATTCCTTTTGTTCGTTCGCCTGCTCTAATTGGCAGCATTTGATAAATGCAATTGACTTGCATTTTTCAGTTCTTGCTCAGTTTTGCTTTAGTTTGTTTTTTGTTCTTAACTGGTGATTTTAATTGCTCGTTAAGTAGTTTTAATGGATGCGTGTGGTTTTATGGACTGCAGCGCCATTGTTGAGTCATTGCGAGTGCATTTTGAAGCCAAAAGCCTTTAAGCCGGGCCATAACATTGTGACCAAAAGCTAAGCCAATCTAAGGCAGCCGGGAGATATTGTTGCGCGGGTGGAAAATGGCAAAAAAAAAAAAAAATGGGAAAAGGTAAGGAAAAAGCATGTTGGAAAATTGTCAACGGCATGGAGCGACAACCACAAGTCGAATTGACTTTGGCGCTTTTGGCTTTGACACGTTGACATACAATAAAGGTATTTGCCTTGGCCACGCCCTAATCTCAGCCCGCCTCCGCATATATAGCTTACAGCGATTGTCACATGGCATTTTCATCACCCGAAACGACGATGTGTCACTCAATCCTGTGCAAAGTTGGCAGGAGGAAATGGCGAAGAGAGTCCTGGCTGGAGTGCCTCATGTCATCGTGTATATTGAACTTGGGGCAATACCTTTTATTTGGGGAAATCGGTGGGTGTATATAACTTTTTAAAGATTCAAACATTCTGTGAACTTGAAATTGGATAAAAAAGTAGAACAGAAAAAGCTTCCTAGGCTAAATAATCCTTTTATTAAACCAAAAGCTTTAATTTTTTATATTTAAACTTAATTATTATTCTTAGTTTATTAATATTTCCATAAGTAGAAAAGAAAATGAGTGGGGAAGTGTAAATATGTTTAACAAGGGGTGTATTAAATTCGAAAGATTATTTTTCCTTATTTTTGCCTTTGGATTTTTCTTTGCCCTGCGCTTTTCCCTTTGCTTTCTTTGGCCTGTGCTGGTTTCACACTGATTACACAAACGTGAGTAAGCTGCTTTCAGCATCGCGTTCCACATGCAAACACCAGTTCATGCATTTATTCATGTACTCACTCACTCATTCATTCATTCATTCAGTGCTCCGAGGATGTAGTCATTCATTTTCATCATTTGTATGTTGTTAAGTCAGCAAAAGGAAAGGAAAAAATGAACCTGGGGAAAAACTTGACGCACTTTTTCCTGATTTGCACTTACCCACCCCGCCAGTAATCCCATTCCCTTATTTTCTTATCTCGAAACGAGTGTGTGTGTGTGTGTGTGTGGGATTTCCTTGAAGTTTCCTTTCTGTTTGGTCATGGCAGCAGATTGAAAATGGCTAACTTCATTTGACCGGCTTTTAGGCCAGCAAGCCATAGCCACAGCCGAAGTTTGTTAATAATTTTAAGTGATTTGCCAGAATGAAAGCAAACAGTTTTTTAATTGCTCCTTCTGGTTGAAGATTTTCCAAGAATAGGTTATTTCCCAGCCATGAAAAGCTTCAATTTATTTTTGGCAAAGTTTTCCATGATTTTGGGTTTTGTGCGTCAGCACTTTTGAATGAGCTCAGTTAGCTAAAGTGTTTTTCAGCCACAAAAGTTCTGGGAAAACTTTTCACGAACAGCTTTTGTCTATTAATCCTGACGGAGGAATAATATTTTCCTAATTGGAAACACAGTTCCTGGTAATCGTTTCATGAAAGGGTTAGAAATATATTCAAATTCTAGTTAAACTTGATGGCAAACCCCCTAAGAATTTCACAAATTTATGATTAACATTAAAGGAAATCTAAAGAACTTTCAACTGAAACCAAACATTTCCCAGAATCCACTTAATTGCTTTCATCTACACCTGCTTCATGTCCTCATTTTCCAGCTATAACCCTAACGAATTTCTAATAGTATTCAAAGCCAAATCATCCTGCAATCCCAGTTCGGAAAAATGGAAAATTGTCATGGGAAATGCATACTTTAATTGACGAGCAAAACAAACCGACACACACTCAGATCAAATTTCAATATGCTAATATCCCCCTCCAAAAAAACAGAAGAAATGAGACTCCTTTTGTAGCCTTTTGGCATTTTTGGAATGCAAATTAACGCTCGAGATGGGACTCAAATGAAAAATGCTTCTGGCCAGGTATAGAATATTGATGTTATCCCCAGACTAGACCAGTTAGTTGGCATCGTTGTGTGGTTATCAATATGGCCAATATTCCGATTCATAACACATCCATACAACATCCATACACACCAGCTGAGATACAAAGAGCTACAGACTCGCATATTGTATCTGCATTTATGAAAATGCCAAAGCTGGGGGTGGGGTCAAAAAACGGCAGCTGAAACTATCAAAATGCATGCCAAGAGGCAAACAACAAAAAGCAGCCAACACGAGCTGCCGCAACATGGCAAACATGAAACCGAAACCGAAAACTGTAACTAAAACTGTGGGCAAAATCACCACCTCCCATGCCACCACCCACCAAAGTGCTTACTCTAGGCAGCCAAAATTGAAAACAAAAAAAAAACCAAGAACGGGCGAAATTTGCATGCATATTTACAAACTTTCGTTCGGGAAAGTCAGAATGATGGGGATACAGTCGGAAAATAGAATAGCGACAAAGTAGAAAATTCTCTGAATTTTTAGGTGCCAGGAAAATCGTATTAAAATCTATGGCTTGCAGAGAATTTTTCATGAAATTTTGAAGAATTTTATTAATTCTTTGAAGATTTTAAAATATAAAATAAAAAGAGTTTGTTGTAAACCCACATTTCTGGCATCTAATAATATCTAATACGAAAGTTTTTTTCAATGTGTCATATCACCCGCACTTGCAGTTTTTCCCCGCCATCCTTTGTGATCCTGCCCCTCTGTCAAGCCGCATTTGATGTTCGTTTTGGCAACTATTTGCAAATGCAAATTGCAAACATGCAACAGGGACATGTTGCGTAAATGTCAATGTTGCAACAACAACTGAAAACCCCAACCAGCCAACAACCAAATACACATGCAAATGTCTCTCTGCCAATCTCCCCATGGGTTTTCCTATACATGTATATATATGTATAATGCTTATGGGGTTCAGTTGGGATATAACCTTCATTGATAAGCAGTTTTTATAGAAGGTTTCCTCATACCCAGCAGTTGGATAACAAAAGAAAAGAAAATTTCCAAATGGCTGGGTGGCTGTCACTTGATTGACAGGGGAGTTGCATTGCCAATTGCATGCCATATGAGTGGGCGTGGTTGTAACGAGGGGGTGTGGCCTCAAGAAGATAAGCTAAATTGCTGACCAGGTATAAACGAGATATAAACGAGATTTGAAAAAGAAAACCTGTCAGCAGGTTAAAAGGGCATTATGATTGGTTTCCTAGAATTTAAAATGAAAATGGTTCGAAGTTTCTTTGTTAAGCTAGTTCTTTGATTCTGGTTCAAGTAGAATTTGGAATCAATTGATATTCGAAATCGTTATGTTAAAGGTTTCAAAGTTACTTTAAATCAATTTCTGTGGAGTTATCATTTCAAATTGTAATGTACTTCAAACTGGGACATAACTTATAACCTAATTGCTGTTACATATGCTACTATTTTACGTCTTCTTTCATAGAAGTTCAGAGGACCACAGCTATGTAATATTGGTAGCAACCTCAACTGAAACCGAAAAACAGAATATTTATTTCCACAGTTTTTGGGGGCCATTGCTGGCCCAGAGTTTCCATTTATTTACGACTCTTTGGGCCCGCAGATGTTTTCCCATCTCCAATTTTTTTTAATGTTTTCCCCATTCGCGAGCAGGGCTTTTGCGCTTTATCAGCAGTTTGTTATGCCAACTGGCCCACTCCATTCCAATATCCTTCCTCTTTGTATGTCTGAGTGTGGATTTAATTTTATGCCCGCTCCATATTTCATCTTTACTTTACGCACATAAATGCCATACATATATGCATATAAGTGAAATTTTCCGTACAAAATTGAAATATTTATGTGTGTTTGCCTTCAGTCTTTTTTTGTTCTGTTTTTATTTTGTTTTGCCCTTGTTGTGCTCTTTAGCGTTGTCCTTACGTTGTCCTTGCCGGCCACATTGTCATTTGCTTCAAGTGTCAAACGCTGCTGAGTGGCCAACGATGTCGCCATTTCTGCTTGTCGCCCCCGGTTTCCGGTCTGCTCCTCCTTTTCTCTTCCTCTTTGGCCACTCCGCCGCTGATTCTCACTTTTTTAAGACAGTGCTGAGAAGTTGGCGAATTTCTAGATACATTTGGCTATTTTTAAGGTTACTAACGATAAGTTTAGCTTTTAAGAGGTAAAATTCTTAAAAATAAATATCTTTAAGGTTACTAACTATAAGTTTAGCTTTTAAGAGGTAAAATTCTTAAAAATAAATATATAAAATATTTTTTATCCACTAATCAAAAATATTTAATGTAAACTTTCTGTGGAATGAATTTTTTTTTGAAAAATAAAATATAAAGACTTAAACTCATGACTTAAATTTTGTTATTTTAGATGAAAATTTGATAATATTTGATAAATATAAATTGAGATATATTTTTGATAGGTTTAAGCCCAAAGAGATTATTTTTCTCCATAAAAACTTGTAAATTTAAATAATTTATTAAATAAGATACACTTTTAGCTTTTTCTATCCATTTATTTTAATAACTTTAGCAGCCACCTCAATTCCTGAAGTCCACTTCTTGTTTTTTTCCCTGCCCACTTTTCGGGGTATATTTGCGTTGGCGGCAAAGTGTCTCGTCGCCTTCGTTTTCCTTCTTTTTTCCACCATCTGAAAATTTTCTGTTTGTTTTGCATTTTCCGCTCTCCTCCTGCGGTTGTCCTTTTCCCCTTGGTTCCTGTCCCTGCAGATATATATTCAGATATTTCCCAACTCTGTTTCTTCCATTTTTTTCCGCATATCTTATGAAATTGTTTATTTTTTTTCGCTGTGTGTTTGTGGAGAGGGAGTGGTGGAGTTGAAGCGGAGTGGGCCAGTAAAATGTGTTTATGCTGCCCAACTGCCATTTACCCTCTCGATAGCATCTCGTACTCTCCCCAGGAACCCAACGTTTATGTGGAGTGCATAATGGTTGTTTACTTTTTAACCTCCCCTCCCCTCTTGCCTCTTATTTTGTGAAGTTCGCTTTTACCCAGTTCAGTTTTTCTTACGATTTTCATTCACTTTGAAGTCTGCCGCTGTCATTCGAGTCTTCTGCCGGGCAAATTTCATTTGACGTACTCTGCATAAGGGTTTGTCAGACTTTGATTGAAGCTGAGATGGAAATCGAATTGGTTTTGGATTTTTCACTATACTATGAGGTTGCAGGAAAAATATGAAAATTTAAAATGAAAATATTAAAATACAAATGTCAACTTTATTGTAAAAATTAAGAATATTTTATGAGCACCATCGCTAAGAATCTTTCTACCATTTAAATGGTTTATTTTCCTAGACTTTTGCCCGAAGTGTATTTTTCACTTTAATGATGCTTTCATCTTTCCTTGTTTTTTTTTGGCATATTTTTCTTCGCCTTTCATCAAATTTGCGTACTCGGTTTACTTGACTCTGGTTATCATTTTATTCTCTATGTACGAGCATCTTTTTCAGGTCTTTTTTAGCACTTTGTGCACTGGTACTTGGGCAAAACGACGCCGGCAAAGTGTCCTTAAAATAGTCATCAAATAACAAGCACACAGCCACAATGGCAGGACTCTTTCTCGTCCTTTCGCATTTTGTATGCATGTGCATGCGCCGGACTCTTCATAAAAGGTGTTGAATTCAATGCCTGCTTTGAATTACAGACAGCCTCCGTAAAGAGAAGGGCTTTGCATGGGCTTTAAGTCTTTAATTTGCCGGCAGCTTTGAAAACAGCAGGCGGTCTGTGGACAGGGCAACACTAATTGGTCGTGTCGCAGTCACGTAGGGAACTCAGTATCTACAGTATCTACAGTATCTGTATCTGTCGGATGGAGCTGGCCAATCAAATCCACAGATGGCCATACATGTGTATATCGTTTATTTTATTTGTCATTTAGAACAAAAGTCAAATGCTTTGTATGCAAATGGCAAAAACCAAGTAACAGGAAATCTAAGCATACGCCAGTTGTATATCTGGCCAATGTATCTTATACTTGAGCCAGTACGTCCATCATTTTGGCTTATTCAGTATTTGCTGTTCTTGGTTTTTGGTTTTGACAACAAAACAGAAAAATCAAGGTTTTAGTTTAGGCATTGAAATAAATAAATAAATGCATGTGTGCTGGCTTGTTTATTATGCAATATGCATGACCACTTTTTCCTGAGGATGTGTGTGTCCCAGCCAAAGGATCAGCCAGAAATTGTAACTGGCCAAGCTTTCCTTCCTTTCAAACTTGTAAAATATTGCTATTTGCATACTGCACTTCTGTGCGTTTTCTAATACAATTAAGGCCAGGATGCCTTTAGAGTTGCTTCTTTTGTATATAATCTGATGATCTCTTATTTGACTTGTTTCGTTACTTGTTTTTTTCTTCATATATTTCCTATGGTTAGTTGGAAAGTTTTTAGCAAATTTCTCATGCATATATGCAGATGTGAATGTCCTTTTTACGGTCACACAAGCACGAAGATGGCAAAAGGAAAATCCTTGAACAAACATCCATGGAAATGTATGGAAAAAGTCAAGCTGGCCATGCGGATTAGAATAAAGGATTCTGTATGGCATATGCAGCCTTTCCAACTATTGTTCATATTTTACACTGCAAGTCTCTCTTAAATTAATGCGGCAGCCGCATCAGAAGCTCCAACTTTTATTCAAAAGTAAATATATTTTCTGTACTGGAAATGTGTATGCCTTAAAGAAGTCTCGAGCACTGACAAAATAATTTAAAAACTGCTCAAAATGTAAACAAATTTCACGGGCTAACATTGTTTCCTGCCAGCAATTTGCAGCCAAATTAAATTCCTCGCGCGGACAACGTTCACGTTAGTTACACTCTTGCACTCAGTCAACAAAGATGTACGGCAAATAAAACAACCGTAGGAGCGGCAAAAGGATAGCTGCATCAACAAACCGGAGGCAAACATCCAAAGGATAACAGCCATGCGAGCAACATCAACACAAAAACAACCTCACGTTGGTCCCATAAAAAGAGCTTTAACTTCATTTTTCGGCGGCGCAGCTCAGGTGGGAGTGCCCTCTGATTGAAAGTCCTTTCTTCCAGCTAGGACATGCAGGGGCTTCTACTCGTACAGGTTTGCATAGTGGATAGCTGAAAAAATGAACTTTGGTTTATGAAAGTTCAGCCTTAAAGTGAAAAATGAGAGCAAAGGTATGCCTGTCGAACAGAATTCTGTGAAAGCTGTATTCATAAAAGGCCTATTAAATTATCTAAATAAAATGATTTAATCATAAATTTACCCCTTAGAAAAGTGAAATCATGTGTATTAATTTAGCTTGATTGGTCCTGCCAAAGAATTTCTGCCTCCTTCTTTTTCCTTTTCATTTTTCCAAGCCTCCCGGATTTCCAAATTAATTTTCTGCTTGGATGGCTCGCAAGTTTGTTTGTTTGTTTCAATGACATGGCCGGAGAGAACCTTCAACTGCAAAACTACAAACTAGCATAAAGGCAAAAGGAAATGTTGCTTATAAGCTGGCTTTAATTACATTTCCATTTCCACTGACAAAAATATCAATTTCACCCCGAAGGCAAGTCCAGACAAGTTGAAAGGAAAGTTCTCAATGCCTTTTGTACTTTATCGG